GCGGGCGGCCCATTTTTCGGCCGGCTCTGCTGTTAGAAAGGTCTTCCCCTCCACCCCACGCGGCCTGGCTGTAACTTCTTCCCGGCTCGCTGCCATCACAGAGACCTAGGCAGCCCCCCCTCCTCCACACCGACACCCTAAGAAATCCGAGGCCCCTACTACGGATCCACCTGGCCCGTGGGCCGAGCCAAGGCTAAAATCCTGAAGGACTGGCGAGAGCAACAGGCGTCGGGGCAGCTACAGAGACGGGAAGGGGAGGTGGGCCTGCGTGCCAGGGAGGCCTGGAGGGAAGGGCCCAGTCCAGGCTCAGGGCCAGGCGCAAGGGCCGGTTTGGAAAGGGGACAGTGGGCTCGCCGGCGGGGTAAACTGAGGCTGGGAAAGCAGCTCTGGCCTGGTGAGGGAGCAGGCCTGGTTAGGGGGTAGATTTAACGAAGCCGAGGGGCCCAGTTTAGTTTCAGGGAAGGTGCGTCGGGTTCAAGGGAGCTGGTCTGGTGAGGGGTAAGGGGGGGCGGCCCGGCTTGGGGAGGGACATCGAGTTCGCACCGATACGCAGGGCTCCGGGAGCAGCTCCAGCACGCACGCCAGACAGAGCCGCGGGGGCACGGGCAGCAGCCAGCGCGGGTCGTGCCGGTAATGGGCCCTCGCGTAGAGCAGCGCCGGCTCCTCGTCTCTCCCGGGCCCCCGAGGGCCCGCCGCCGCCGACTCCCTCACAGCCATCTGCCGCACTGGTTCCCGCGCAGCCTGTGCGCAAGCGCACTTGAAAGAGGCCCCCACGCCGGCAACGCTGTGCGCGGGGGGAGGGGGGATGCGGGGCGGGGGGTGCAAAGTGGGGCTAACGCAGCTGCGTGAACCCAGGGCGACGCAAAGGCGCGGAGGACGTGTGGGGGGCACGAAGACTGGAGGGTATCGACAGAAACCAACGCGGCCGGCTCTTTAAGCCTGTGGGCATTCGTCTTGACCACACTGTAGATCGAAAAGTATTTGTAAAGATGGGGCGCCTGGGTGGCTTAGTCGGTTAAGCGTCCGACTTTCGCTTAGGTCATGATCTCGCGGTTCGTGGGTTCGAGCCCCTCGTCGGGCTCTGTGCTGACTGCCAGCTCAGAGCCTGGAGCCTGTTTCAGTCTGTGACTCCCTCTCTCTCTGACCCTCCCCTGCTCATGCTGTCTCTCTCTCTCTCTCTCTCCTAGAAATAAAATAAAACATTAAAAAAAAAAAAACTTTAAAAAAAAAAGAAAATGTCATTAGCTTTGAGGAAGGACAGGAAATCATCTGTTTCTACTAGTAAAAAATTAAATAGGGGAGGAGGCCTGGGTGGCTCTCCCCTGGTTCAACTCGGCTCAGGTCATGATCTCCTGGTTTGTGAGTTGGAGCCCTGCGTCAGGCTCTGCGCTCACAGCTCAGAGCCTGCAGCCTGCTTCGGATCCTGTGTCTCCCTCTCTCTCTGACCCTCCTCTGCTCATGCTTGCTCCCTCTCTCTCGGGCTCTCTCTCTCTCTCTCAAAAATAAGTAAACATTAAAAAAAATTTTTTTAATTAAATAGGGGCTCTTGGCTGACTCCGTCGGAGGAGCATGCTACTCTTGATATCAGGGTTGTGAGTTCAAGCCCCACCTTGGGTATAGAGCTTACTTAAAAATAAAATCTATTTTTTAAAAAATTAAATGATCTCAGGGATCTAAAATCTCTTAGTATTATTTTAATTTATGTGACCCTTTTCTCTCCAAGAGTGGAGATTGGTTCCTTTAGGATATTTTCTCACAGGAGCACCTGGGTGTCTCAGTCATTTAAACATATGACTTAGGCTCCGGTCATGATCTCATGGTTCGTGGGTTTGAGCCCCGCATCTGGCTCTGTGCTGACAGCTCAGAGCCTGGGCCCTGTTTCACATTCCCTGTCTCCCTCTCTCTCTGACCTTCCCCCACTGATATTTTAAAAATATGTCCTCTCATAGACATTTGCGCAGTGAGCGAGCAAAAAATGCTGCAGAAGAAATTGTTTATCGTTATCTTTACTAACAATAATAATCTATCAATCTACAGGGATTATTTAGCCCCAGGATGTCCAGCAACTGGCTACTGGTGAAAGAGGTAAGTTCAGGAGGTGTTCTCTATATTCGGAAGGCATGTGACTGAGTGCAAAAACTTACTTCCATGTCAAAATAGTTTAGAAAATAGTGGTTTATTATTCGACGTAGTGTTCTGAAGTAATGTTTGAGAAAAGTATGCATTAACATGGAAAAGTTCTCATTAAAATGCTGTGCACAAAAGATGCAGAATTATATGTACAAGTAGGTAAAATAAATAAGCAAAAAACCACTTATTCAACACAAATTATAGCAGTAATACATATTCAGTGAAGACAATGAAAGGAAAAATAATATTTTGATATTTCTTTCAGTCTATACATATTTACAACAGTAACGTACAAAAGTTTGTAAACTGCTTCTCCCAGAGAAAAACATATCGTGTACATCTTCCATGTCATTAAATATAGTCCTGTATATTTTTTAAATGTTGACAAAGAGTGTATTTTGGACAAAGTTTTGAGGCAGAAACCGTGCTAGAAGCTAGAGGATTCAAAAGTGAGCAAGAGACCTTCTTGTCCCCAAGTTCAGTCAAGGCAACAGATGAGAAAATTATTACAATGGAGTATATAATATTAGTTATCTATTGCTGTATAACAACTTATCCCATGTGATGGGTTGAAATGGTGACCTTCAAAAACATATCTCCATGTCTGCTATGCACTGAATTGTGTCCCCCAAATTTAAATATGAAGCCCTAACCCTTAAAGTGACTGTATTTGGAGATAGGGCCTTTATTTTTTTTTTTTAGTGTTTTGTTTTTTTCTGAGAGGGAGAGAGAGACAGCGTGAGCAGGGGAGGGTCAGAGAGAGAGGGAGATACAGAATCCGAAACAGACTCCAGGCTCTGAGCTAGCTGTCAGCATAGAGCCCAATGTGGGGCTCGAACCCACGAACCACGAGATCATGACGTGAGCCAAAGTCAGATGCTTAACCAACTGAGCCATCCAGGCACCCCAGAGATAGGGCCTTTAAAAGGTAATTAAGGTTAAAAGAAGTCACAAGGCGGGGGTGGGGGAGTTATAATCCCATAGGATTGGTGGCCTTACAAGAAGAGGGAGAGGGGTGCCTGGCTGGATCAGTGAGTAGAGCATGAGACTCTTGATCTCAGGGTTATGAGTTCAAGCCCCACATTGGGTGTAGAGACTACTTAGAAATAAAAAGTCTTAGGGGTGCTTGGGTGGCTCAGTTGGTTGAGCATCATCTGACTTTGGCCTCAGGCATGATCTCACCTTTCCCAAGTTTGAGCCCCACCTTGGGCTCTGTGCTGACAGCTCGGAGCCTGGAGCCTGCTTTGGATTCTGTGTCTCCCTCTCTCTCTCTGCCCCTCCCCTGCTCATCCTCTGTGTGTCTCTGTCTCTGTCTCTCTCTCTGTAAAAAAATAAAAAATCTAATAAAAAAAAAAAACGAGGGAGAGAAAGATCTCTCACTTCTCTTTTATATATATATATATATATCTGTGTGTCTCTGTCTCTGTCTCTCTCTCTGTAAAAAAATAAAAAATCTAATAAAAAAAAAAAACGAGGGAGAGAAAGATCTCTCACTTCTCTTTTATATATATATATATATATATCAAGGAGAGGCCATGTGAAGGCATAGTGAGAAGGCAACCATCTTCAAGCCAGAAAGAAAACTCTTACCAGAAACTGAATCAGCCAGAACCTTGATCTCGGACTTCTGGCCTCCAGAACTGTGAGAAAATAAATTTCTATTGTTTAAGCCTTCCCATCTGTAATATTTTGTTATAGCAGCCAGAGCAGACTTCTAAAACATCCTAATCCCCAGAATTTGTAAATGTTACCTTTTTTGGAAAACGATCTTTGAAGTTGTGATTAAGTTAAGGATCTTGAGAGGGGATTGTGCAGGAGTTTACAGTGGGTCCTAAATCCAATAACCAAGTGTCTGGGAAAGAGACACACAGAGTAAAGGAAGACGCAGTGATCGGAGTGATGGTGCTGATGGTGCCACAAGCCAACGATCGCCTGCAACCGCCAGAGGCTGGAAAGAACAGGGAAGTGATTGTCCTCTAGAGCCAGAGGGCCTTCTGACATCCCAATTTCAGACTTTGGCCCCCTGAAGTTGTTTTAAGCCATGAGGTTTGTGGTCTTTTGTTATGGTAGCTGTAGAAAATGAATATGCCCCAAGGAAACATTATCTCATAGTTTCTGTGCATCTGGAACCCAGGCACGGCTTCCGAGTTACCCTGGCTGAAAGGCTCTCATGAGGTTGTGATTTTCTCAAGACTCACTAGGGCTGAAAGATCCTGAAAGATCTGCGTCCACGCTCCCTCACGATTGGTGGCAGGAGTCAGCTCCTCAACAGCTAAGTGAGCCCACATTGGGCTGTGCACTGAGCGTGGAGCCTGCTTGGGAATTCCCCCCCCCTCCCCTTCTGTCTGTCTCCCCCACTTGCCCACTTGCACTCTCTCTCTCTAAAATAAAATAAAATTTAAACAAATAATTGGCTCCACGATGTCCCATGGATAGGCCAGGCAGAGCAACAGGTCATCATGGTTGGCAGTGCTTGAGAAGTGGAGAGGTGGGAATGTTTTTTCCATGAAGTGTGTTCATGGGCATCAGGGTCCCCGCAGGGCAGATGCCCGGTGATCATCTCCCTTCCTCGTGACCAAAAGGACTGTGAATAATAGCGTTCTGTGCAGAGCACCACCCTACGCCACAAACAGTTGAGGCTCAGTGTGAGCATCCTTCCTCGATCAGAATTAACTTAGAGTAGGGCAGGCCAGAGCCATGATAGAAACCTCAGTAAACCCTACTGTGAGGAGCTGAGAAGAGGAATGTGTTTAGGAGATGGCATTGGGTTGACCCACACTCCTCAAACCTTGAGTACCATAGAGTAGAAGTGGCTTCTACCCCACCCGCAAAGTATCCCAACCTCCGAAAGGGGACACTCAGACAACATGTGCCAAAAATGTCGGAACCCCACAGGCCCAAGTAACCAATTTTATTAGAGACTTTGAGGGTGAGCCGACCACTCTCATGCCTTCTCTTCTGTGTTCTGAGCACTCTGGGCCTGCGGCCTACTTTCTAAAGCCATGCTGGAGCAGAAAACATCTCAAATGCTTCATAAAACCAAACTTTTGGGGGGCTGGTGGTCTCCGTGGGGCTCCATTTAGGCCCTCAGGTTCCCCTTGCCCCGGTAAGTGCTCTGCCTTAGGAAGAGCAACCCCAGCACAGCAGTGACCTGGTGGCTGAAGGCCCCTCTTCAGAGAAGTATGGACTCCAGGGCTGTCCTCCCTTGCATGTCGGTCACCCACTCTGGGAAGCAGGGTAGGGTCAGGACCCCTCAGACTCAGGCTGGGGGCTGAGTGCTGAGGCTTGGCCAGGCGTGAGGACCAGGATACCTTGTTTGAAAGGGCCATGCTCAACCTCACCGTGGCAGAGGGAAGACCATCTGTGAAGCTGGAAGTGTCTGTGGGGCAGGAGGAAGGCTGCTGCTCAGCAGCTCCGCCCTCTGCAGCCTCCAGCCTCCCTCTCCTCCCATGTGGAGGCTGCTGACATTTAAGTCGAGGGGACTTTGGGGCCTCCAGGGATGTGCACTCCTTTCTCCAATGGCCGTGACCTGCCCTGGAGTATGAGGTCCTCACTCTACAGGGAGCCCCCTCTGCCGTCTGGGAGACTCCTGGCCTGACCATTTTCCTGTCCGTGTTCCTCCCACTGGAACACCGAGCCTCTCTGAAAGGCTCTTGGCCACAGCAGCTCCTAGATTGTGCTGTAGGCCTGGCGTTCCTTAGAGCCGCGGGCTTGGCTCTAGGAGGAGGCTCTTCTTGGACAGCCTGTGGTTCTCTGGCGCCTCCTGGCGGCCTGCCTCTCCCAGGCTTTCCAGAATGGATGGAAATGCCCATGGGCTCGCGCCGCTGTGGCCCACATTTCTCCAGAGCTCTGGCCTGTGTAGGAAGTTTTGAGCTTTTTCTTTCTTGGGGCTGAGCCCTCTGGGACCTCCCAGTTGACTGATGGTCTGGCCTGAAGCCATTGGCCTCACCACGCCTTGCCTGCTGTTGTTGGAACTTACAGGCCGTGTATAATCCAGGGAGGCTCACGCCAGCAAGGGGTGGTGGGCAAGGTCCTAACAAGTTAAAGAGCAAATGGGACTCCAGGATCCGCTGGGGAAGGCCCCATTTCAGGTGTGCCATCTTCCGTCGCATGAGGGACTCTAGGAGGAGTCGTTGGCTCTTTTTGAGGACTGACCACTTGGGCATGACAGTGAGGGCAATGGGAGCACCCGCCAGAGCTGTGGCAGCTTGGGGGCCTTGGCCACGTGAGATGGAGGGGCAGGCAGAGGGCAGGCCCAGGGGAGCAGCCAGAAACTGTAAGTTCTGGAGCTGCCGAGTCAGGCCAGGAGCCTTCCCTGGATCCACCTTTGTATCCCTTTGTCGGCTTCTCTGGGATTCAGGTGGGGCCTGCTGGGAGGCTACACTCACCTCCTCTCCGTGCATCTTGGCAGAGGCCATGCTCTGGCTGACCAGATGCCCCCCTTCCCCACTGGCAAGCAGGAAGAGTTGACTCGGGTCGGGGAGAGGCTTCGTCTCAGGACAGGGAGTGGAGGCCACTGCCTGTTCCTGTTCTGTGGCCCCATATTCAGAGCCTGTGAGGGCTGGGGACCCCCCACCCCCAGAAGAGTCAACTGGGAGACTGCCTTTAGCAGGAAGACTGACCTGCTCCTTGAGTCTTCCCCTTGGAACGGGAGGGCCTCCGGCCTCCTCAGCTCTGCACTTTCTCAGGCTCCCTACAGCCTGGATTCCTGCCGCATCCTCTCCAGCCTTATTCTGGTCCCCTTGCCCTTGTATCTGGGTCTCTCCATCAATTTCACTTCTTAACAGCCGCTGGCAATCTCCCCCAGGAGCCTGGGTTTCTGTACGATCGTCACCTGTGGTCCCTCTCAGGTTGCTTTTCTCTTGTGCGTGAGTGTCCGCACCATGCTCGCCTCTCATCTGCTCCTGGTTCGTCCACTCTGAACAGCTCTTTTCATTAACTTTGCTATTTATCAGCCCCTGGGACCCTCCCCTAGGTCCCTGGGTTTTTCTGCCATCCTCACTTCCAGCCTCTCTCTGGCTTCTCTTCCCCAATGTCTGATTTTCCTCCTTCTTTCCTCCAGTCTGCTCCCAATTGCTTCTCCCTGCTGAGTGGCCCTCTCCAGTTTCGTTATCGAACGGTCCCTGGTTCTTCCCAGGCCTCTGGGTCCCTACAGCATCTTCACTTTCGGCTTCTCTCTGGTTTCTCTTCTCTGGAGTCTGAATTTCTGTTCCATTCTCACCTCCTGTCTGCTCCTGGTTCTTCCGCTCTGATAAATGGGTCTTTCTATCAATAACACCTGTTAACTGGCTCTGGTTTTCTTCTCCAGCTTCCCAGGTCTCTGTGTCATCCTCACCTCCAGCTACTGTCTGACTTGTCTTCTCTGGAGCTTGGATTTCTGCACCATTCTCCTCTCCAACCTGCTCCTCTTTCTTCCATTCTACTGAATGGGTTTCTGCATTAATTTTACTTGTGAATTCTCCCCTGTTTTCAGCCTCAGATGCCTCTGTGTTTGCACCATCCTTGCCTCTAACGTATTCCTGATTCTTCCACTTGGGTGAATGAATGTTGCCGTTATTTTTACTGCTTAACTGACCCTGGTTTTCTTCCCCAAGTTCCTGGGTCTCTTTACTGTCTTCATCTTTAACACTTCTCAGATTGCTTGTCCCTAGTGCCTGATCATCTCTACTGTTCTCATCTCCAAACTGCCCCTGTTTCCTCCTCTCTGGTGGATGGGTGTCTACATGAGTTTCATGTCTTACGTGTCCCTGGTTCTCTGTCTCAGGAGCCAGGGTATTTATACTGTCCTCATCTCCATCTTTTCTCTGCTCTCTCTTCTCTGTTGCCTGAGTTTCTGCTCTGTGTTCACCTCCAATATGATCCTGGCCCCCCCAACATGGTATCTCAAATTCTCTGTCAATTTCACTTCCACTCTGGTCCTGATCTTCCCACCATGGTGCCTGGATCACAACCCAATCCTCCTCTTTTATCTCCCTAAGGTCCTTCCTTCTAGATATGTGGGTTTCCCCAGCATCCTCCCCCAGTCTCAGGCCTTGATTTCTCCACCCCACTAGAAGTTCATGTCTTAGTTGTTTCCAAATCTCTCCCCTATATGCTTGGATCTTCCCAGCTTTCTCACTTCCACCTCGATCCTGCTTCTCCCACCCTAGGGTCTGGATCTCTGTAATATTCTCACTTCCAATGCATTCCTGTTTTCCCCACCCCAGGGCCTGGGTCTCCACACCCTCCTCTCTTTTCTCTTCTCCCAGGTTCTCCCTCCCAGATACCTGGGGTCGCATAGCATTCTCACCTCCAACCTGGGCCTTGTTTCTCCTCTCTTGTGCCTGAATTTCTATGCCAGTTTCGTCTCTGATCTTGTCTTGTTTTCCCCACCCTGACACCTGGGTCTCCTTACCATTCTCACTTCCGGTCTGGCCCTGCTTCCCCAGTCCTTGGGCCTGGGTCCCTCCTTCATCCTCTCCTCTGGCCTCTTTCTTGTTCTTCTCAAATGCCTGGGTCTCCACAGCATCCCCATTTCTCCTCTTATCCTGGTTCCCCCACTCTGGCATGTGAATCTCTGTATCAGCTTCACATCTTAAATATTCCTGTTTCTCTGCTGTATGTGTCTGGGTTTCAGGAGAATTCTCACCTTCAGCCTCCCTCTTCTTTCTATTCTCTAGTTCCTGAATTTTAGCTCTATTCTCAATTCCCCTCTGGTCCTGGCTCATTGGCCCTGGTGTCAGGATATCCCCACCAGTCTTACTTATTACTACTCTCTGGCTTCTCCACTCCAGGACCTTAGTCTCTGCATCATCCTTCATCTCAATGTTCACTGGGAGCTGCCTTCCAGTTGCCTGGATGTCCCAAGCATCTTCCCTACTGCTCTCTGTCTGGTTCGCCCACCATAGAGCCTGAGTCTCTCTACTATCCTCTCTGCCTAGCACCTGGTTTTCTGTCCATAGTGCCCAGGCCTCTTGTGGGCAGCCCCAGGGCTCCCAAGGGGACACTCCCTCATGTTGGCTGGAAGGATCTGGAATGAACTCTCCAGAGTAGAAATGCAGCCTCTGAGATGAAGGGAGGTTTGAGAGAGAGGTGGTTAAAGTCATGGGTGTGAGGTGGGGCCTCTTAGGGACAACAAGCCCCAGTGGCATCAGTTCTTCCTGGGAGCAGACGAGCAGCTGCTCCGTCCCTCGGTGCATGTGCAGGGAAGGGGATAGTGGCTTGCAAATCATGTGAGACTGCTCATCACTGAGACACCAGGGTACCTGCTGTGCTTCCCAAGAACTGTCCTGAGGGAGCATACAGGTGCTTGAAAAAGGGGTGGTGCCAAAGATGGGCTCAGAAGGAGTGCGGGAATCCCAAGGTGGGTCCTGACATGAGTGCTGCCGAGAGAGCAGGTGTTGGGTCCATGATTCCTGGAGGCCCCTCTGGTACTCATACATCTTCTTTTGTGCCCATTGCTGGACATGAGCATCCAGGCCACTGAAATCTCCGGGACTCAGGAAGAATTCAGGGGTCAGCCTCAAACAAGTGTCACGTCTCATGGAGGACATGGCCCACTTCTGCGGTGGCACCTGTAGTTGAGAATGGAGAAACAAAATCCTTGCACACACACCATCTCATCTAATTCTCATAGATTAGAATTACAATCTCCATTATCCAGGTCTACAGGGAATCATTTCTTTTAGGGCATTCATTCAAGACAGGAAAAGAGTTCACGCCAGGCCAGGCACTATTCTAGATGCTGGGATTACCAGCATGAACAAGACAAGGTCCTTGGTGGGAGCTATCTTCCAGACATGGAAGACACAATAACCAAGTATACAACATATTAGATATTGAAAACTGTTTGCGTGGAAATAAAAGTGGAGTGGGTATGAGGTTAGCTCCTTTAGATAGGCTGGTCACAGAAGGCCTCTCAGAGGATGTGACATTTGACTGGAGACCTGAGTGAAACAATGGGCAACTAAGTGACATCTGAAGAAAGAGCACCTAAGGCAGAGGAGACATTAGTGCAAAGGCCCTGAGGTCAGAACAAAGCCATGTGTGTAAGAATATTAAGGAGTCCCTATGTCCAGAATGAAACAAGTGATGAAGACAGCCATGGGAGATGAGGTCAGAGAGAAATGTAGGACAGATCATGCAGGGCCTTGGACTTACGGTTAGGAGTTTGTATTTTATTCTGAGTTTGACAGAGAGTGTATCTGTAAGAGCTGTTGCAGGGTTTTGAGGGGCAAAATGCTATGATCTATTTTTTTTTTAGTTTTTTTAATGTTTTATTTCTAGGAGAGAGAGAGAGAGACAGCATGAACAGGGGAGGGTCAGAGAGAGAGGGAGTGACAGACTCTGAAACAGGCTCCAGGCTCTGAGCTGGCAGTCAGCACAGAGCCCGACGCGGGGCTCGAACCCACGAACCGCGAGATCATGACCTAAGTGAAAGTCGGACGCTTAACCCACTAAGCCACCCAGGCGCCCCTCTATGATCTATTTTTAAAAATTGGTTCTTGGGGCACCTGGGGGGCTCAGTCAGTTAAGCGTCCGACTTCGGCTCAGGTCATGATCTCATAGTCTGTGAGTTCAAGCCATGTCGGACTCTGTGCTGACAGCTCAGATCCTGGAGCCTGCTTTGGATTCTGTGTCTCCCTCTCATCATCCTCTCTCTCTCTCTCTCTCTCTCTCTCAAAAATAAATAAACATTTAAAATTTTTAATAAAAAAAATTGGTTCTTGCTCATGAGCATAATGTAAGGCCTAAGCCAGCCGTAAAAAAAAACCTACCATGCCCAAACTAGTCTATGTTACTAGGAACCAGCATAGTAATGACTGCAAACTTCTGGGCTGCAATCACGGTCTGATTCTTAATCTGGATGCCACATATGAATGTATTCAGTTTGTGAAAATTCATTGGTCTATACACCTATAATCTATGTATATGTATTATCCTTGGATTAAAATTTTAAAGGGGAAAGAGAAAGAAAGAAGATCATTTTGTTGGCTGCATGGAACATCGTCCTTGGATGGGAGAGACTGCAAGAACCAGGCAGAAGGCAGTGCCACAGTGCAGAGACATGAGGGAGCCTTTGCCCAAGGGACTGTGGGGAGGTTTCAAGAAGTGATCGGATTTGAGATATGGTTTGCAAATAGAGCCCACAGGACTTGTAGAGGGGAATGAGGGAGGGAGGGAGAGAGACTAAGGTGACTGATGGGTTTGGGGCCTGGTGATGCTCCCCCTAACTAGTCTAAGTTCCCCCATGTGATTCATCTCTGGTACACGGGGCATAGAACAGGGTCCTCATAACAAGTGAATGAGCCAATCATGGTGCCGAGGGAAGGAGGTGTGTGGGGGGCCCCCTCACCTTGGTGACCTTCCTCATGCTGGGGTGGGTCCTGGTGACCCGGTGCCAATAGTGTTGGACCTGCCAGATCAGGAAGAGGCAGATCACAAGCAGGTTGCCACAGCACCGAGGGTCCCTGCAGCTGCGATCCTCAGAAAGCGAGCCCCGCACTGGCTCCCACTCAGGGCCCTGGAATGGTCCCACCACAGCACAGGCACCCAGCAGTGGCAGCAACATGACAAAGCTTAAGTGAGCAGGTGGTGTTAGGGAGTTAGAGGGCAGGACTGGGATGGCTGACCCAGCCAGTCTGGGGTGGGGTAGTCCCTGCCACATCGCACCTCTGTCACTGAGGCTACCTCACAAAGAAGCCTCAGCCAGTTCCAGCTCCTGGACCCGCCACCAGAGCTGGCTGACATGTCCTCAGTGCTGGTAAGGACAGCATTGGAGAACTGCCCTAAAGGAATTAAGAGGGAGAGGAATCCATTTTAAATATCCCATCCTCTGGAATGAAGAGATTATACTCCCCCCATGTGTGATGGGGTGATGTAGCCTGCAGTCTGCACGATTTCTTTCTTCCTATTCAATGCTTTCGTCCATGTGTCCTTGTGACTATCCAATACCAGACATTTAATGAGCACTGTATTGAACACATGTATCCTTGTTCGACCACTCAGCATCCCTTCCTCTTTGTTCACCGTATTTTGGTTTTTGGTTGGGGGATTACTTTTCCCATCTCAGGATCAGTGTTGGTAGGAGAATAAATGCTACCCTGAAGATTGTCTTTGACCCAAAGATTACATTCAAAATATTGAATAATGGAGGAGGAAGGGACATCAGCCAATCAGATGGTCCAGGCCTTAACCCTTTAATAGCAGCTTTGTAAGTGTTACTGAGCATCCCAGGAGAGGGGCATCACCTATTTACCAATGAGCTGCGATCTGTTTCTCTAGATTAAGAACCCAATATGCCACACGATATATCCCGACTGAATGTCACCCTAGCTGATACCTGATACTCTCTCACAGAACAGAGATTCAATGTGGGAATAGGAAGCTGGGGAGGAAAAGAAAAAGAAAAGCAGCCCATGACAGCTAGGAACTGGCCCAGTTCTGTCAGTTAAGACTTAGTGTTGCTAGGAGCTGGCCTGACACTCATAGCTGGGCCTCAGTATTCTTCCGTTCAACATAAACAATTTCATAGAACGTCAACAACAGAGAAAGCCATTCTGCAATCATCGAGACAAGAGCAATACCACTCTTTAATTATGTTTGAACAGAGACAAAATCATGAACATTATTGAAACCACAAAAATCACCAAATCCCGCTTTTCCTGTCTAAAATGAGCGACTGCTAATTTTTACCATTACAGCATTAGCTCCACTTGATTCCTTCCACCTTGTTGATAAGATCATTAAGATGCCCAATCATAGAATTATTCACACTCCCTGATGACATCTAATCCAGAGCAAACCCCAGTTCCTTGAACCCTCCCCAAAATCACCTAATAGAACCCAAATCCTACATTAAATCCTTTTGAACACCCTCTTATTGAGGAGGCTTATCATTTCCCATGGTGTGCCTTCTCTCTTGATGCAGTAAGTAATAACCCTATAGGTGTGTTTCCGGTAGTACTTGGCTAGAGGGCATTTACAGTGGAATGAGACTGCTCTCACAACCAGCTCCTCTGGAATCTGTGGGCACCGTGACAGAGTTTTTTCCTAAACTCCTTTTTGATTGATTGCCAGCAAAAACCCTTAAGTGAAATGGGTACCTCCATTAGGCCAATCATAGTCCTAGAATATAGGTATCCAAAGTACCCAAGGCATCTAAACACCCTGCTCTCACAGAGCTCTCAGTGTGGTTGAAAGGTGGACACTGAATAAAGGCAAGTTTGACAGGTGCTATAAAGGGCAAATACAGGGTGTTTGTGGGTCCATCCAGCAGGGGCAGTTACCTGGTCTGGGTGATCAGAGAGGCTTCATGGAAGAGGTGATGAGCAGGAGTTAGCTAAGCAAAACAGTGGAGTACATTACAGACAACAAGGATAGATGGGTTGGAAAAACTGGAGTGTGCTCAGGGTAGAAAAAGAAGGTGGGTAGAGCTATATTTTGGGGATGGGAGTGGGGACTGGTGTAGCGGGGCCTAGTAAGCCATGGCAAGGATTTGGAGTTTTAAGCACAGAAGTATGTAGAAAATAAATTTCTAAGACAAATTGATTTTGAGCATATATCAACATCAACATTTATTAACTTACTAGCAAGGGAAAAAACAAAATACCAAGGGTGAGCTAGCTCTAAGAGGATTTGGAAATTGAGTTATTATATAATTGGGAAACAGAATTAATTATGTGAAGTGTACTGTCTCATTACTCATGGTAATAAAAACATCACGTCCCCTTCAGTCTTTACTGAGGAGACCTGGGATATGATGGTCCAAGATGCCAAGTAGGCCAAGTAAAACTGGAAATTGTTATAAAGGACATCAAAAAAGCTAGGGTGCCTGGGTGGCTCAGCTGGTTGAGCATCCAACTCTTGATTGTGGTTCAGGTCATGATCTCACAATTCATGGGATTGAGCCCCCGTTGGGCTCTGTGCTAAGACTGGGGAGCCTGTTTGGGATTCTCTCTCTCCTCTCTCTCTTCACCCTCCCCCATTCTTTCTCTCTCAAAAATGAATAATAAACATTTTTTAAAAGCACATCAAAAAAGCAAATGATAAAGACATGTCTATGACTATAAATTGAAATAATAAGGTTTAATTCCTCAACAATGGTGGCTTATATGTCTAACTAATATGGAAACATGAAACAGGATCTGAGAAGTGAACAGCAGAAGCCAAACCACAGGTTCTACCTTTTTTTAAAAAATTTTTAATTAAAAAAATTTTTTAATGTTTTATTTATTTCTGAGAGAGAGAGAGACAGTGTGAGCAGGGGAGGGTCAGAGAGAAAGGGAGATACAGAATCTGAAACAGGCTCCAGGCTCTGAGCTAGCTGTCAGCACACAGCCCGATGTGGGGCTTGAACCCACAAACCGTGAGATCATGACCTGAGCCGAAGTCAGACACTTAACTGACTGAGCCACCCAGGCGCCCCTACCTTTTTTTTTTTTTTTTTTTTTTTTAGAGGGTGGGGGAATGGGTAGGGGAAGAGGGAGTGAGAGCATCTTAAATCAGGCAGCTTGCAGGCTGATACAGGGCTTGATCTCAACAGCCTGAGATGATGACCTGAGCCAGAATCAAAAGTCAGATGCTTAATCAACTGAACAACCCAGGTATCCTGTCACAGGATCTACTCTTAAACAGGAACCATCTGTGGGTATTTCTTAATTCGGAGACAAATTTTGTTCTTCAACAAGTCATGCATAAGGTGGGGCGCCTGGGTAGCTCAGTTAAGCATCTGACTCTTGATTTTGGCTAAGGGCATGATTTCATGGTTCCTGAGATTGAGTCCCATGTTAGGCTCTGCACTGACTGCTCAGAGTCTGTTTAGGATTCTCTTTCCCTCTCTCTCTCTCTCTCTCTGACCCTCCCCCACTCACACACATACACACACACTCTCTCAAAATAAATACATAAACTTAACAAAAAGATTTGCATGAGGTGAAGTTTGATGGAGGAATTTTTGATGTAATGAATATTCCATCCTGGAGCCAGTGCAAACCCATCATGCCGCCCCATACCACGACTGGTTTCAGGCACAGCAACCAGATGTAGTGGAAGTAACCTAGGTCAATAGCCAAAATCCCAAGGTCCAGTTCTGGTTCAGCCACTGTCTCACTCTGTGACTTTGGGCAAGCAGCTTCCCTGCTCTGGACCTTAATATCTGTAAAATGAAGAGATTTTCTGCATGATTCCTAAGGGTCCTGCCAAGTCTCTAGTAGGTTTCCCAAATAGTTAACTGGAACTAGCCTATAACTGGTCTAGTTTGGGCTGATCCCAGTGGTCCTAAGATGTGCCTGGCATCATGTTGGAGAGAAATGAGTGAAGGCCATAACAATCAGGAAGGACTTCTTGGAGGTGGTGAGGCATGAGTCTATCTTTGAATAATGGAGAGTTGGAGCAGCCTAGAGAAAAGAGCAGTATGCTGGCCAAAAGAAAATGCATGTCCTATGACATCTCCAAATTCAATCTGACCGAACCTCAACTCTCACTCTCAAACCTGTTCTTCCTGAATGCCCTCCTTAAGGGATTCCATTTCTGGTAGACTCCACACTTCCCACCAAATTTTAACAAGGATATCTAAGTATGAAGGAAAACACTTAGGATTACCCATCATTATCTCCATATCGTTCCTTCACCAGCGTAGGAGAAAAAAGATGATTTTGAAAGCACAAGAATATGCTTAAAGATACGTAGTCAATGGAATGATGACAGCATTGAAACCTTTTGTTCTGGGTGTCTGTTTGTGTATGTATGTATGAATGTTTAATTTATTCTTCGTGCCAAAAATGGGTAGTACAATGATAACAAAAATAGCAAATTACTGTCCCTCGCCCAGAAATCACTTGGTTCCCCGGCGGGCGCCCTCAGAAGACGAGGTCCGCCCGCTTGCAGTGTGGCGTCACTTCCGTTTCCTGCCGCGCGCGGCCATCTTCACTCCTCCGGCGCGACTTTCCGGCGGAGGCGCGCGCTCCCGCTCTGACGTCAGCTACGCTCTCCGAGTGGCCGCCAGACCGCGGAGTCGCAGCGATGGTGAGTGCGTGCGCGTGGTGCAAGGGCTGGGAAGCGCGAGACTCCGGGTTCACTCTCTAGACTGTCCGGGCTCGGTTCACTCACTAGGCTGTCGGGGCTTAGAACGTGGCTGTCATGGTGGCCCCGCCTGGGGTTAGAGCTCCGCCGGCCGCGGAGTCCCAGCCTCCTCCCCCCCGCCCCCGAGTTAGAACTCGGACCGCCGCGGGGCCCCAGCAGCCCCGCTCGAGGTTAGAACTCGGAAAGCCTCAGGGTCCCAACAGGCTGTGGTCGGGGGGATTTTGCAGCGCTCTGTGCGTGTGGTTGGAAGCCTCCGGGGAGTGGAGGAGTCCCGGCCCAGCGTGGGAGCTAAGAGACCAGCCCACGTGGGAGTGAGTAGAAAGTTGGATGAGAAAACTTGGCTCCGTCTTTTTTGTTTCTCTTGCTGGGGATCGATCGCTAGAGGATGGTGTGGAACCCAGAATTCAACCAGCCTCCTCTACCCCGCTTCCCTGTTTGTTGATACTCAGGAGAAGGAGGTCTAGATCTCCATGGATCTGCGCCTTAGTGCCCACCGCGAGTTGCACGTGCCGGGGACTTGGCGTTTGGCGGCTGTGGTAAACGTGGAGTGATCCAGAACCCCGGCTTGGGGTTCGGGAATGGTTTCTGCGAGGCGGTAGTCTCAAATCAGAGGTCCTGGTAGCACCACGTGCGGCTTCTCTAAGCTGTTGGTGATCTCCAGCCTTTAATCAACTCCTGTAACAGCTTGGTAGTTTTGTTTGGTACTTGGGAAGGAAGAGTTTGCAAAGCACTTCACTAACATAGGGTTAATCCTTCCATCGGAACGTGGATCCCGTGGGGCATCTTCCCCCTTTCCCTCCCCCTTCCTCCTATTTTGAAGTTAGTATGTGGCTGAACCTAGAACTTGAAGCTTCTAAACCAGTGCTCATTTTACGGAATTCCACGCAAAGTTTGGGAATAGAATGGCCTCGAGTTAAACTTAACAAATTTTCCTCGGGGCACCCGAGTGGCTCGGTCGGTTAGGCATCCGACTTCAGCTCAGGTCATGAGCTCACCATTCCTGAGTTCGACCTCTGGGTTGGATTTTCTGCTGGGCTCTGTGCTGACAGCTCAGAGTCTGGAGCCTGCTTCGGATTCTGTGTCTGTCTCCTTTCCTCTCTGCCTCTTCCCCACTCGCACTCTGTCTCCCTCAAAAATAAACATCAGAAATGAAGAACAAAATTTTTCTCAACTGTAAAACGGGGATAAAGATTCACGAGAGTGTTGGGAGGATTTAAATGAGAACGCATGTTAAGCACCTAATCCTAATACATGGCACGGTTTTGATGAGCACGCCTTATTTCTTGTTAAATCAAAACCTTCAGGGTTTTGTTTGTCTCTCTGGTGTACAGGGAGACCAAATAGATAAGTTAGCTAGCAGTATGATTTCATTTATTCACTCTTTTAAATAATCCTTAAAAATTAAAAGGTGAATAAATACACAAAAAGCAAATTTCAGTTACTATTTACGAGCTAGGTAGCTTGTTTTAAAGTTGAGCCAACTTCTTATTGTTGACTGATATTAAAACAATAAGGTGAAGCCTCTGTAGTTTTTCAGGCTCCTGAATGAAGTCTTCCATTTTATGCATTTAATGTTTTGTTGAGAATTGAGAATCCTAAATTTCAGAGAGGGGTTGTTGGAGCTCCAATTTAAAGTAGATTTTTGAGGGGCGCCTGGGTGGCTCAGTTGGTTAAGTGTCCGACTTTGGCTCAGGTCATGATCTCACGGTTTGTGGGTTCGAGCCCCACGCCGGGCTTTGTGCTGACAGCCAGCTCAGAGCCTGGAGCCTGTCTTCGGATTCTGTGACTCCTTCTCTCTCTGATCCTCCCCTGCTCACGCTGTCTCTGTCTCTCTCTCAAAAATAAATAAAACATTTTTTAAAAGGGGGGGGAGGCTGTGCCCATCTCTTAAAATAATAAATAAATAAAGTAGATTTTTGAGGAGTGATTGGGATTAAAGTGTTGTTGGGTCCTTTATTGTTTAGGATGAGGGTGCCGGTGTTGTAGAGCATTAGATTTTGATAAGTCAGGGACATATATTGTGATCTCTCAGGTAGCCACCAAAAGAATGGAGATATATAATTCCAGGCCAGAAGAGGGAATAGTAGAGTGAAAGAATAATAAACCCAAAGGGAGGAAAAAAAGAAAATGAAACATATCAGTTGGGACAAATAGAAGGCACAAAGGAAGGAAGATTTGAACCTAATGTTATCAGTACTTAATATAGAAAGAGACCAAGTGCTTCAGTGAAAACAGATTAAAGTAGAATGGTAAACGTATGACAAGTTTAAAAGTGTGATGTAGCCTATATAAACATAAAAAAGCAAGTTTTAAGGTGAAAGGCATCTGTGAAGATAATGGCTAAAAAAACAAGGTGTTTGCTTCAGATTTGGTGTCTCCTTCTCTCTCAAAAATAAATAAACATTGGGACGCCTGGGTGGCTCAGTCGGTTAAGCCTCTGACTTCGGCTCAGGTAATCTCACAGCTGGTGGGTTCTAGCCCCCCACCCCCCCTTTGAGCTCTGTGCTGACAGCTCAGAGCCTGGAGCCTGTTTCGGATTCTGTGTTCCCCCTTTCTCTCTAACCCTCCCCCATTCATGTTCTGTCTCTCTCTTGTCTCTTCAAGAATAAAATTAAAACATTAAAATTTAAATAAATAAATAAACACTTTAAAAATATTTTTAAGTTGTGCCTGAATGGCTCAGTTGGTTGTGTCCTGACTTCAGCTCAGGTCATGATCTCCTGGTTTGTAAGTTCGAGCCCCATGTGGGGCTTAGTGCTGACAGCTCAGAGCCTGGAGCCTGTTTCAGATTCTGTCTCTCCTTCTCTCTTTCTGCCCCTCTCCCATTTGTGTGCTCGCTTGCTTACTCAAAAATAAAGATTTAAAAATTTTAAATAAGGTATGAATAAAATAAAAATGATATAATTACAAGAAGAAATGGACAAATATGCAGTTATATAGCATTTAAGTATATAAATGATAGATGGCAGTTCCAGAACATCAGTATAGAAAGGATTTGAACAACATCGTCAACAAACGTAATCTACTAGTCATAGTGAATCTAGTGAAAAAAAATTATAATGGAAATTTGAAAACATAACTAAACAATAGAATACCACACACCACAGCTAAAGTATTACCTGGAACTTAAAATGCTTACGTTGGAGGGAAAGGAACTATAAAAAGGTAGGAAAAGAATAAAAAGACAAAACACCAAAGAAAAGCAGAAATTACTGAAATAGCAAATAGATCTGACTTATAGGATGGACAGAATCAGACTATTTGGAAAGTCCCCTCCAGTGAGATTAATCAGGAAAATAAGCAAAACAGGTGTAAGGAGTAACAAACATGAAGGAGGTATAATCTTTGAGATGAAGTGAACAAATGCCTGAAAAAAAGGTATCAAAACCAATTTAAGTAGAAATTTAAAACAAAAAAAGAAACTAAAAATTTTTAACAGGAGGGGTGGCTGGATGACTCAGTTGGTTAAGTGTGCAACTCTTGATTTCAGCTGGGGTCATGATCTAACAGTACGAGATTGAGCCCCTCATCTCCTGAGCTGGCAGTGCAGAGCCAGTTTAGGATTCTCTTTCTGCCCCTCCACTGTGAGCTCTTTCTTTCTCTCAAAATAAATAAGCATTAAAATTTTTTTGAACTGAGAAAAACCCTATATATAGTTTTAAAAATAGCTTTATTGAGATAATTTATGTACTATAAGAAGTTCACCTGTGTGAAGTGTATACTTCAGTGGTATTTCATCTATTTACAGAGCTATACAACCATTGCTATAGAATTTTAGGACATTTTTACCATCCCTTCCGCCAAGAAACCTTATGTCCATTAGCTAACAGATATAAAATTTAAAAACCTATTTAAGTTGGTTTTATCTCAGGAATGCAAACTTGGCTTAATATTAGAAAACTGTAAAAAAAAAATAAAGGAAAAAGTCTTTTTCATCGGAGTCAGCACAAAATCTGATCGAATTCAACACCAATATGTTTAAGAATAAATTCTTTTTTTTTAATGTTTATTTTTGAGAGAGCGCACAAGTGGTGTAAGAGCAGAGAGAGAGGGAGACCCAGAATCCAAAGTAGGGTCCAGGCTCCAAGCTGTCAGCACAGAGCCTGACGTAGGGCTCGAATTTACAAACCCTGAGATCATGACCTGAGCTGCAGACAGACGCTTAGCGGACTGAGCCTCAGAAAGTCTTAATATAGTAAGAAATAAAGTGAATTTTCTTAGCCTGAAATACCTAGGAGTAAATCTAGAAGAGATTAAGCCTTTTGTAAAAATTGTAAAGCCTTGAGAAGTACCCAGTTAAGCATATATGTTTAAATTGACGGACAGATTCTGCACAGGTCCTTTTACCCAAATTGGGATTATATCAAACCTCCTTATCGGATTATCCCAGCACGTTTTTGTGGGCCTTGGAAAGATGATTCTAGATGTATGGAGAAGAGTACACCAATAATGAGCAGACCTTTCCCCACTTCTTCAGGGCACTGTAGCCCTCACTAAATTCCGCATCACCCTGGGGCCACTGCAGTCGTAGGGACCAGGCGTTTGGTGCAAGCTCACTGCCGATGTCACTTCCGGTGACGTCACCACTGCGTCACTTCCTGCTTCCCTGCGGGTGGGTCGTTTCTGTGTCCTTGCGGTGCTGTGCAGGAGACCACCGAGGCGGACGCAATGGTGAGTGCTCCCACCGGGCCGTCACCCACGGGTCACCAACGAGAGTCGGGGTGCCGCGCGCTGCGTGCCGCGGTCCAGCCTCCAAAACCGGGATAGGAGCGGGCCGCCGCGGGCGAACCGCTTGTTGCTCGCGGATGGTAACGTGGGGTGCATCCGAGTTTTATGTATAGATTCATAGATCTGTAAAAAGAGTCACGGGGAAAACAAATGAGAAGTCAATGAAAATGATTAAACTCGAGAGGTGGGGGTGAGGAAAAAGGAATGTATAAGCAGGCTCCACCCAATTCGTTCCCAACGTGGGTAATTTTGAAGCAAAGTCAATGACGTAGCATTTTATTCATAGGTGATGAAGTATGTATCAATAAAATACGGGTTTTTATCAACTGCAGTGCCATTTTAATACTCCAGGATTTAGTAGTTCCTAAATAACATTAGAATCAAAGGCTTGATCAGATTTTTTTTTTTCTTTCCTTTTGTTTTTACGCAAAAATGCTTGGTCATAGATGTTTTTGTTCTTCAAGAGGGGCAGTGATCACATGGTATCTTTTTGTGATACTGGTAGCTGTTAATGTCTGGAACCATTATCTGTGTCTGGGTTGATTAGCTTATTAATACGGGTTGGAAGATGGCTGGTTTGATTGACTCATTCCTTTAGTAGGTGGAACAGTGATACAGGAGAAACTTGTCATCTGCTACTTGGTTACCTAGTCGTACAGTCTGTATGGGAAAGGCAGGGTAAATGCTTTACTGTCTACCAGTTTTCAGAGCGTTTAGTTCACTAACACAGCTTTGACTTTGGAACCATGTAGTTGTTTTATGTATTTGAAAAGTCAAATCTTAATTTTTTTTTAAGCAAGCTGAATGCAAAGGAACTCTAATTGTATATCAAGTTGATAACCACAGGGAAAAATTAATCTGAATATCTTGAATATAGTACTCTGTATGGCCTTAGTTGCATATGTTCTAAGTTGCATATTTTGACCTTGGTGAGATTGTTGGTAGAGGTACCAACCACCAACCATTTTGTGTGTATTGTAGGGTCAGATAAGTGAGAAAATATTTTGATGGATTCTTACTGAGGACAGAGGAAGATTTGAATATTGAATGGGGAGTGGAGAGAGAGAACTTTGTGCTACAGTTCTATAAATTATGCCTTAATCTTTATTTCAGTAAATTTGGGGTGGAGTGTGGAAACCTAAATTTAAAAATTATCTCCTTGTCACTCTAGTGGATGTTGAGCCATGAGAGCCTATTTGTGATCCATCTACTATAATATTACCAAGCAAAAGAGACAAATAAAAGTATATCAGCTTTAGTGTACATCATTGGAGTCTAATTGCTAAAATTTTTTTATTCTGATACATTTTAGTTTTTCTAACTTGGGAAGAGGCAGCCATTGTCAATTACCAAGTGTCTTTCTGAGGGAGGAACAGCGAAGCTGTTGTTGATTTAAAGTATTTTATGATTTGTCTGGAACACCTTCTGGTTCAATTTGACTGATGGGTTTGATGGCTTCCCCCACTTCCCACCCCATAGACTGAGGCTGATGTGAATCCGAAGGCCTACCCCCTTGCAGATGCCCACCTCACCAAGAAACTACTGGACCTTGTTCAGCAGTCATGTAACTACAAGCAGCTTCGGAAAGGAGCCAACGAAGGTAAGGCAGCCAGAGGGGGCTTCAGGTAGAGTGATCGAGGCACTGTCTCAATCTCCAAGATTTCCAGCTTGGAAAGAGGGCTGGATACTCTGGAGACGAGTGGGAGGACTTGGGAGCAGCATTTTGGTAGTAGATGCTAAAAGGCTAAAAATGATTTTAGACCCATCAGTTGTTAACATCTACTTTCTGAGGAGAATCAGAGTCGGGACTTGAACTTGGGCAGTGCAGCTCCAGAGTCTGTGCTCTTGTCCCTACTTCAGCGGTAACACAGTGCGGTCTGTGTACTAGCACTGGGCCACAGAGGTAAGCAGTCAGGAGTAAGTGTTTAAACAGTGACGTGGGGTGCTGATTTTTTTCTTCTTAAGTTGCATGTGGTGTGAGCTTTCCAGAAATACTGCTCGTGACAGACTGGGATGGTAAAACCCCAATCCTTGATCACAGAGTTGGAGAAATGCTGTACTGCAAAGCCTGTGTGCAAGCTGTTGCGGTCAACCCAGCAAGAGGTGGTAGTGACTGGGGCGAGTACAGTCAAGAGAGGAGAGAAGTGATCTGCTTCAGGATGTGTTGTGACAGAGCTGATGGCTTTGATGTAGGGTTTGAGGAAGGCATTGAGGGTGGCTAATTGGTGATTAAGTCCCATATTGCTTCCCAAGGCCACACTATAGGACAGAGAATTGCTTGTGCTTGGGGATTTTTGCCCAGAAAGCACCTGTTTCTTTCCATTAGAAATTGCTTTTTTTGTGGCTTCCATGCCCAACTTCCCTCCCCCCCCCCCCCAATCACTTATTGGCCTCCTGTCCTTCTCTCTTCAGCCACCAAAACACTCAACAGAGGCATCTCTGAGTTCATCGTGATGGCGGCAGACGCTGAGCCTCTGGAGATCATCCTACACCTTCCGCTGCTGTGTGAGGATAAGAACGTGCCCTACGTGTTTGTGCGCTCCAAGCAGGCCCTGGGCCGGGCCTGCGGGGTCTCCAGGCCCGTCATCGCTTGTTCTGTCACCATCAAGGAAGGCTCACAGCTGAAGCAGCAGATCCAGTCCATTCAGCAGTCCATTGAAAGGCTCTTAGTCTAAACTGGTGGCCTGCGCCCCCTCCTCCCTGAGTCCTCCCCCTGGGGGGTTGTATCATAGCGTCGGTGTTAGCATGTAGTACCTCCAGCCACCTCCTTTTGTTAATAGTATAGTACTAAATCTGGGTTTTGCATTTTTGTATTATTTTACAGGTCGTTATCCATATATTAATCCCCCACCCAGCCCAATCTCCCATTCTACCCTCTCTGCCACCTTATCCTCCCTTTTGAAAAGTGAACTAATGCCAAGAACAGGCGGAGACAGAATGGTGACACCATTCAAAGGCAGGGAATTGGGGCGCCTGAGTGGCTTAGTCGGTTAAGCGTCCGACTTTCGCTTAGGTCATGATCTCGCGGTTCGTGGGTTCGAGCCCCGCGTCGGGCTCTGTGCTGACTGCCAGCTCAGAGCCTGGAGCTTGTTTCAGTCTGTGACTCCCTCTCTCTCTGACCCTCCCCTGCTCACAGTGTCTCTCTCTGTCTCCTAGAAATAAATAAAACATTTAAAAAAAAAAAAGGCAGGGAAGAGCCAGGAGAGAGCTCTGGTTCGAGTTTTCAGGCACTAACTTCCCGTCATATGCAGGACATGATGGATGTAAACACCGTTCACTTTGTATTCCTTGTGCCTGGTGTACACAGTCATTCCATACGCGTTTGCTCTCTGTGGGGATCGTGTCACGTTTGGGGAGAAAGCATGTATCCTGTGAGGTTGTTAGGTGTATGTCCAAGTGTCATGTGCTAATCTGCCCCTGCCGTTTGCCTTGGTAACGAGATGTTCCCCCTCTCCCCCCACTCCTAACCTAACCGTGCCCCTGAGGGCCGCAGGGTAGCAGCATACCAAAGCTGCAGAATTCCAGAAGCTGCCTGGTCAAGTTAGACATGGGGCGGTTGACCCAGGTCTTGAAGGAGTCCACAGTGGCAAGAAAAAGGAGGGTCATCTGATGCTGGAATGAAGAAGTCTGGGCGAGTCCTGGAGGCCTGACTGGAAGCTACAGCAGGGATGTCCTCGCTGGTGAATGGAGGTGTCTTCAGGGGACAGTCGGTACCAGCTCTGAGAGCCCTCCCCCCCCACCCCACCCCAGTTCCCTGCCACTGCGCAGGTCAGATGTATGTATTCTTTAGCACATCGGAAGGATAGTGCTAGTGTGCCATTCTTGTGAGCATCCTAATAAAGAAATATATTCATATTCCAATTTAAAGAAAGTGTGGTTCTTGATAGGTACCCAGCTAATGCCTGAAAATGAAGAACTGTTCAGCATCCTTAGACCAGTGATAGCTTCTCAAACTTTCCACCAAGAGGCTGTGAAAAAGCCATTACCTTGGGTGATTTCCAGCAGCTCAAAATGTCTTGTACTAACATGATTGTTGAGATGTCGCTCTCACTCTACAAAGGGTTTCCCCGCCTCAGCACTAGGGACGTTTTGGGCTGGATGATGTTTTAATTTTTTTAAGTTTAACTCCAGGTTACTTAACAGTGTACTAATGGTCCAGGAGTGGGCTGGCCTGTGTGCTGCAGAGTTTAGCAGCCTCTCTGGCCTTTACCCACTAGGTGTCAGCAGCGGTCTTCTCCTGCCCCCAAGACACTGCCAGCTGTTCCTGGTGGCAGCGTCACCCCTAGCTGAGAAC